GTACCTCAAAATAAATTTATAAAACGTTATAAACGGTCTAATTTCATTGCAAAAGAATTAAAAAAAATTGTTTTTGAGTTTAACTTTTTGTTATATTCTATGCTGATTGATGCCGAGACTGCGTATACGCTGGAGTGATGAGGTAGAAACTCGACACGGGGCAGCTTCTTGAAACCGTAATTGCAACACGTTGATGGCTGTTACTTATTTTGTTAGAAATGATTGAAAATGTAATATTTATATTTGATACTACGTGATCTACATAAAGCTGTGATCCAACGATGATTATTCTTATGTGCAAATATTGTTTGTAGAAGAGAAACTCATTTCTATGTTCTTCATCACGTTTTATATTGATGTTATTCGTATGATTTTCAACAAATATTGAAGTACAATTGGCATTACCTTATTCTTTCTTTATTTCGTAATATGTTGCTCTTTGAACTTTGAAAATATCATTCTTAGTTTGGTTTTTAGCTATAAATTAACTTTCATTAATTTTCCCAAACCTTAACAAATCGTACGATACTTTTGCTCGGCACTAAAAGGGTTAAATACCGTCCGATGGAATTGTGAAATGCAACGTATTAATGACGTCGACTCTTGGTTTAAGGATGTATTGGCNNNGTACATAAACTTTTGGGATTGACTGTATAGCCAATACATCCTTAAATAAAAAGGACGACTCCTCGTATCGAAACCCTGATCCTTGGCCAGGAACTATGTACACATACTACCGTCAAGAATAAGGAAAGAGGTTATGGCGTATCGATCAGCAATGACCAGTTGATTAAATCTCGACAAACGGTGACGAAGAAACTGTTTCTCGTACAGATTATAAATTCCAGTGAACCAGAAAATCCATACCGCGTCCACGTAACGGGTTACGAATGCATACGGTGATGTATTGAACCGGACAACATTTATTATCCACCGTACACGATATCATGCATAATGCATTTTCTGATCGCGAACGATCTTCCGTTTCCTACGTTTCGGGCAAGGCTAGGTAATATATATAGATCGTTTGCGACGCGTCGCGAAAAGACGTATTGCGGCCGCGACAGATTCGCAGCGATAAAACGTTGAATGCTAGTCCTTATGCAAATCCCGCCGCTCGCTTCGACCTGCATCCTTCTTTTCTACGCTCTAATACGATCTCACAATGCGTATCGGGTGTAGCCGAGTTCGTCAAAGAACATTAGACGACTCCTGATCGATTTCAATGTTCGAAGGAGTCCGAAAATGATGCCCATTGGACAACAGCTTCGTACTGATTGCTACAATCACGCGGAACTAGCGTTGCGGTACATGTACGAAGCACATAAACTATTTTTACGCCAGAGGCAAGGTCCAGCTTTCCACTTGAACATGTGTAATCTCGTTCATCGAAAGCGAAACGTAAAAATCTGAAATGGAGAGGCTTGTACGATCGAAGGGCTGAGACGCGTTTAACAAGGGAACAGGGGGAGACGGAAATGGGGCGGCATGATAGCTCAGGATACATGTTCGGATCGATTATAACGAACGATGCACGTAGGAAGAACAATGCGAATTCGAGGCGCATAGAAAAAAAGTCACGCAACTGATTAATAACGTTGCGAAGAATCAGGTTAGACGATCTTCGCACATGCAAACGGTCTATCGATCGAGACTCGATACCGATCACTCGTTCAAGGCTTATAATAATCTTTACAAACCATTCGCCTGAGCCACATTAAACTTAATACATGTAATATCTTTTAAGAAGGAAATTAGATTGCCTTCTGTACAGCCTATAATTTCGTTCTCGACTCTTTCTACAGTCGCATTATTTATAAGATGACTTCACAAGTCCTTATCCTGTAGTTTAAATTTTTATGCAGTTTAAAATCAATCTTTTGCGTCACTGAGTTGTTCGCGAAAAATCTGGGGAAATTAAAGGGGATACATTAGATCTGTTGGCGTCGTTTGAGAGCCACCGAGTGAAACTGATTAAGAGGTATTATTTTGCATCGCTATCCGGTCGCTGTGCAAGCCCAAGGGTCATAACAGGCCATCTTAAGCCGCAGATAAGTGGAAAAAATAAGGCGAGCATACGCGAAGGGAGCGAAAGGTCGGATTACTCGAGTCTGTTCGAGGAATCTCTTTCGAAACCTCTTGGACGGATGATCGAACGCTGCGTAATTGTTAGACCGCTAGCTTTATGCATTTATAAAAAAACTGAAAGCGCAGACTACAAACGCTGTGTGTAACGTAATATAAATATTTTATTTCACATAAAAATCCTCGCACCTACGCGAAGCGTTCCAAAACGGATTGGGAGAACGTTGAAATGTTGCCTATTAATACTTAACTATTCTCTCAATGCGATAAAGAATGACAAGAGCGTTGCGAAGGATTATTTACTTCCCGCGAACGTAACGCGTACGTCGATGGACACGTATTTCTGGCTGGACTGCGTAAAATGAAAACAGCACTTTTAATTGATTCAAACAACTTAAGGAAAAACGCGAGAACATAATGCTCCGCGTATTGATCACGATCCATTTGACAAATTTGTTTTTAACGGAACGAGAAAGATAAAAGGGTACATTACTCGCTCGATACCTCAAGCCAAAAACTGTATTAACATTACAATTCAGTGTTTACAATAAAAAGTGTCTACACGAATCGGAGATCATGATCGAAAGAAATGGTTTTATAAAACGATCGTTAACGTACTTAATTGGATCATGAAATTCCGTAACCGATCTTGAATCGCCCTAACGTTAACTTTTCATAACCCCATCGTAAAGCAAAGTATGATTCATCAACATTGGACATTACGTTATACGAGCGTTACATATCATAATTCATCGTGTACGAGACCAGCCGTTTCGTTACGTTCAATAATTCGGTAGATATCGATTCATCGTCAGAAATAAAAGGCGATCGACGATGCACGCGACGACGATAAGACAAGAAGGCTATACATATCAGAGCCCATATAAGAGATGTAGAAGAATACGATACGAGATGAATTCTTTTAGAAAACGTGATATTGGTAGATCGCACTCGTCTCGTGTCCAAAATGGCTGGTCGCTAAAATTAGCGTTGAAACGATACCAGATCGGATCGAGTACCATGCCCTGGTTCCACTCACCTTGACGTCGAAGAAAAGTCATATAAAATGGTATCGCCCTGCTGGACGGCCGCCTTCTAGCGTGAAAATTGAACGGATCCCCGTGGGTGTATCGAGACAGATGGTTCGCCCTGTCGGGTGCACCCCAGTGTCTCGTTATACGTCTGTCTTTCTACGATGTCTCGTCTACGAAAGTTAGGCGGTTGAAACGGTCGGTCGCGTATACGTGACAACGTGACACCGTCGCCGATGCTTCCTTCTTCCACTTTTGATTTCTTCCTTCCTTTTTCACCCCTTCGATGACAAGCTGCTCCTCGTCGTCGAATATTAATTCGCTGATTCAATCGATCCTGATCGGGTCTGATACGTGCTGTACGTAACTCTTTGCTTGCGACGTGCAACGCGAAACGTTCCGGCTTCTGGGACAGTTACTGCCTGAATACAACTGCGAACAGTGCGAACACTGCGAACGTACACTCGACACAGCTCTCGAGACAGGAACGTACACGCGATTCAGAATTCCTGGTCCTGAGAATGATAGCGATGCCATCTTATAGAAAAGTTCAATGTACACTCTGTGGCTCGATTGGCGTATGCGAACGAAGCTTTAAATTCAAAATGGCCGTCTACGTGGGCGACTTCTACGCATGCGTTCTCGTGACATCGAATGCGTGAGTTGCGCGAGAATGTCCCACGCAGGCGGCCATTTTGAATTTGCGGCTTCGTTTACGTATCGTAATCCGAGTTATTCGATGTCCGGACTTCTCCACAGGTATGTATACACGTGTCGCTATCATCCCAATTTCTTCCTTTTTTATCTGAACATCATTTTTACACAATTGTTTCCGAATGTTTCGTTACAATTAATTAGAAATGATTATCACTGTATTCTATGAATACGTCAAGTTTATATTATAATTCTTCGAAATATTTTATATGGTCAGCGCCAGAACGAAGTACATTTAGTATTTCGTACATGTGCGATTAGATAATTACATAAAAAAGCTGGGTTATCTTCAACCCTGAAGGTAGATATCTATATCGCTTTTTAAATGGTCTTAACTTGAAAGTCAGTTGCAACGAGGTTGCGTTATAGTTCGTAATCTAACCCTTACGCTAGTATAAAAAGTGGCCGTACACGTGATACATCTTCAAATCATCGTCAATCATCGTTGGCTGTGTTTTCTCACAGACGATTGTGTACCTCGTTCAATTTTATTCACTTAGAATAAATGAAATACAGTTAATGGTTTCATAATATTCGAAGAACGGAAGATATGCATTTTTTCCTGTCTTTCACCATTGAAAACTATCGTTGATTTTCAAACGAATTATGAAAAATGGCTTCGCCGTTTACTTGTATAACCTGTCGAGTGGCATTTCGAGATTTGGAGATACAGAGGCAGCATTACAAATCGGATTGGCACAGATATAATTTAAAGAGAAAAGTGGCCGAACTGCCTCCGGTTTCTGTAGAAGAATTTCAGAAGCGAGTGATCGCGCAAAGGAACAAGGATGACAAGGAAAGGGAAGAAGAAACGATGAACTGCAAGATATGCAGGAAGAGTTTCAATACGAAGAATCAATACGACAATCATCTGGTGTCGAAGAAGCACAAGGAAAAATCTGCAAGGCAACACGTTACGTCTGACATCGACATCGAGGACAACGATGATCGAGCTGGCCCCTCGCCTGACTCTTCCACTAAGAAGGATATGGACGAAGATATGGAAGAAATATCTATCAAAAGACCTAGAGAAGACATGGATATAGATTCCGACATCGAATCCGTAGACTCCGACGAGTGGATAGAAGACACGGAGAACCCAGTCAGAAATAATAATTGCCTGTTTTGCAATCACCACAGTAGGTCTTTGGTAAAGAATCTGAAGCATATGACGGTCGCACATTCGTTCGTAGTGCCAGACCCTGAGTACTGTATAGATATTAAAGGATTACTCATTTACCTTGGAGAAAAGATCTTTGCTGGATATATGTGCATCTGGTGCAACCATTCTGGTAAGTTATTAACTTTTTTCACGCATGGAAATTAATCACTCGATTGTATATATAATAAATTGTCGATGTAATCGAATAGGAAGATGTTTTCAAAGCGCCGATGCTGCCAGAGCACATATGATGGACAAAGGTCATTGCAAAATGCTGCACGAAGGAGACGCGCTCGCGGAGTATGCAGAATTTTATGATTACTCGTCCAGTTATCCAGACGCAGAAGCCACCGATCCAGATGCGGAGGTCGAGATACCGGAGTTAGACGACAGTGACTATCAGCTAGTGTTGCCATCGGGAAATGTTATCGGGCATAGGTCCTTGATGAGGTATTATAAGCAGAATTTAAATCCTAATAGAGCACTCGCCGTGTCGAAGAGCACGAAATTACGTAAGGTATTGTCGCAATACAAAGCCTTGGGCTGGACAGAGACTCAAAAAGAGTCCGCTGTAAAGAAAGCTAGAGACATTAAGTATATGCAGAGAGTGCAGGCAAAATACTCGACACAATTACAGATCAAGGCGAATAAATTACAGAAACACTTTAGACCACAAGTCAACTTTTAGGCCCTGTTACATGTATAAATATTGTTCCAAGACTGCACTCCTCTTGGAACTGTACAATTAACTCTATCGTTAGGTATGCACATTTATACATTTATCAGCAGAATAAAATTGTACTTATTTATTCGACGTTTCCAATATCCGTCTAAGAGTGTGCCGTAAGGATAGTGCATTAGACGTTTATCATTACAAACTGTAATATTTATTTGGCGGACACTTTTACAAAATAATTTATAATATATTTTCGTAACACGTGACACCAACAAAAATAACACCTCTCGTCAACTTTGTATTTTATACTCGTGTGGACCCGTCCAGTAATTCCTGTAATCGTCAGTCGAATCACGTTGACATTTTTGTTCCTCGTTTTAGACACGGATCAAGAGGTAACCCGTGTTCCGCTAGTCTTTCGTGGTAGCTGTAGGTGTAATAAAAGATTTCGACCATTTCCGTACCATGTACGCGTGTATACTTTCGATTTACGTATAACCAACGGATTATCAGAATAGTACAGAAGAATTAAATGTCAAACTATAATATTTGACACGATCCCCGTCGCCTCTACGATAATTTCTTTTCGTTTTCGTTTGAATCAGCAAAATGCAGAACAAAAACCCACTGAAGAAATCTGTTAAATGGATCTTCATTCTTGCATTTGTTAACTCATATGTATATATATGTATGTATTAACTACGTTTTTTTTAATCACCGTTCATAGAACACAGATAACGAGCAGTAACCGATGTCTCGAATCGTAAATACTTTCTAAGAGAAACATGCGGCCCGCCCGTTCTTTTTTTTAAGTACTTCATACATGCGGCTTTAATATAATTATACTTTTGAGACCCGTTATTGTCGCATAACAATACACATAGTTGAGACTACTTCTCTTTCGTAATATTTCTTGTTGTTTTTAAAGATTTCGTAATGGTTTACTTCGGCTCTCTCTCTACGAGTCTGTTTAATTCAGTATCTTGACCATCAGCTTTAAGGACTGATGGGGTGGAGCCGGTCTGATCGATTCGTCGAGATCCGTGTACGGTATCTCCGCTTCCACCTGAAAACCATGTTTCAAACATACTTTCTGCGAGAACATCCCCGTCGCGTCTACTTTGAACACCTGCGAACACGTTACAACGTTTTATAGTCGATGTGCGTTTAATGTTACACGCAAAGACATTCAGTTACATACAGTTGGTACGAAGTACACCGCGTGCAAAAACACTTCTCGAGGAAGTGATCGAGTGCATTGCAATTTTACATCTTGGTAAACGAAAATCATCCCATGCATACTAACCGAAGAACATGCTGAAACAAAAACGAAATGTAAGCTCATCGCCGCTCTACTACGACGGATCGTGCTTTACACATGTATACGAGCAGATAAAGAATTCGTCTCTTCTGATAATATCCGAATCTGTTAGAATTTGTGTAGTCATTGTTTCGACCACGAAAATTATAATTGAAATTTAACGACGGTGTCGTAAAATTGGAACAAGCTTTCGATAGGGAGTGGTAAAGGTCAAGTCTTTAAAGAGACTTAAAGGCATGCTTCGACATTTATAATGTAGAACGATTCATCATTTTCGAGTAATGATCCGGAGGAACGAATCGGTTTTTAAGATTACCTTGAAACCAGCATGTCTCGCTGTTTCTATACTGTCTGCCATTAAAACGTTCGCCAGACCCTTCCCACGAAAGTTCTCGTCGACGCTAAGGATTCGACATTCGAACAACTCATCGACGTTGTACTTAGAAAACAAATCGACCTTCTTGTTAACTTTGTAGAGCAACCCAAATATTACTTTGAACTTTTCATCGTCCAACTCGGCTAGACGACGTTCAGCTTCTTCGCGCTCTCCCCTTTTCAGCAAACCGTTCAAAGACATACCAGCTATCTGACAGGACAGTACTTATGAATATGATCGACGAACGAGCTCATGAGTATTCGTAGAGCATACATCGGTAAGATTAAACAAAATGTAATGTAAGTAATTGTTCGGTACGGACAGAGAGGATACAGGATCTATCTCCTTTAATTGAACTTACCGTTCCATCTTGATCGACCAACATCTTCGAGTATCCCTGCTCCAAAGTCAGCAGACAGTGTCTCTCCAATTCGTATTGGCTCTCCCCTTTCCCGCATAGTCCGATCGCCTGGTTCAGAGGTTCGTCCGCAAAGAAATTCCATTTTAAATGATTTATCGCCTCCTCGAAACGATTTTCTGGTACTTCAACGACCGTTAAACTTGACATCTTTGGGGTGGTCACGGCACGTTTTCCGCGCACTGAAAGGATTTCCCACGCGCGCACCACCCTTAACAGGAAGAGGCTCATATTGGAAAAGGTCCATATATTGATTGACCCAGTTCAAGGAATTCACCGAGTACAATGATCATGCATCGCTTCTAATTAAGGGTATACAGGAGTGACGGGCCAACTCCGAATTGATCTTGGAGGCCTCGTGCGGAGAAACTGAGAAACTTTAGTAAAGGATGAAAAATCAAAATTATTAATAATTAACACATGTTTGTTCGTTAATATATAAGCGATTCGAAAGATATATTTTCTAAGGGAGATAAAAAGGAATGGAGTGTATATGTATATAGAAAAATGCGATACGTGAGAGTAAATATATATATGTACATGTTTATTTTCCGTAAATTTTTACTAGTTAAGTTGTCGCCTTCGCGCATTTTTTGCGTGGAGGCCACGATTATTAACATAATACAACTTTAACGAACATCAAGCTAGTGATCCATGGCTAGCGAAAGAAATATTTTCAATTATCATACAATAATACAACGTTCTGTTATACTGGGAAATCGATATTGCCTAAGGATTTTCTTGACGGACTAAATCTGTTTCCATACTCCATTCGTTCTTAAGCACATTCATTCGGAATTGGAACATTCGATTTTTAATACTTCAGAGTGTGCAAAACAAGTTATTTATAATGTTTAGAACAGTAGATCGTCGTCTCCTTCGTCGAGCATGTTTGCAGCTTCCACGAGTTTGCCAGACGCTCTCATCTCTTTTTTGATTGACTCGAGCTGCGTGGTGAAAGTCGAATTTAATAATGCGATATAACATTTTGTAAAACAAAAGAATTTTACCTTAGCCTTGGCTTGCTTCTTCTTATCCTGGATCTTCTTTAATCTGTAGAACTCCTCTCTTTCCAATTCGTCCAGCTCGGAGATGATGTAAGCGAGAGTTCTTTCGATTCTTGGAATGATAACGTGTTCAATAGCGTTTACACGTCGATTCGTGATCTTGATCACTTCGTCCAACGTTACAAAGCTCGTTTGCAGGGACGCTAACTCCACCAATAATTTAATTGCTCTCTGATAATTCTTCTTCAATTTCGCCAATTGCTGACCGCCCCTTGCTAAGCCAGCTAGCTCATAAGAATCCGTGCCATCCTGGTAGGACTCGAATACCGGAAGATTAACACCTGCTACATTGTCTTTCTTCGACCGAATTTTGATTTGTGCTTTCGTCACGTTCTGGAGGACCACGTGGTTAAAGTCTCCAGTGGCAAATTTGGCTTCGGCTAATGAAAAAGCTGCCTCCTTCATCACTTCTCCCATAAGAGTTTTTGTCTGAATATAAAAATAGATAAAACTACCGTGAAAGTAAAGGAATAACTGCTTGTGAAAAGTCAGAGCTTTACCTCGATAATTTTACCTAGAATTAATCTGAAACGCATTTGTAACGCGTCTGCTTTCTTCTTCAACAATCCATGTCCCTTCTGAGCCCCTTGTAAACGGGACTTCATCAACATTTGTGCTCTGCGAACAAACAATAGAATGATTATAATTTACATAAAAGAATACAAAAAATCGATTTCGCTTCTTGGCCAAACGATTGCGTATCGAGAACGCAGTGTCTGATTTAGAGACATAATTGAAACGTTCTGGACAGGGTTACACCCATTTAATAAGGAGTCGCGAGTGATTAAACGATCATTAAAAAATATGCTGAACAAGTGAAGGTCGGGACGAGTTAACGAGTAAGACGATTTAAAAATGAAATAACTCACCCCCGAGAAGGGAAAATCGCGAGTCGATCTTTTCCAGACATACTTTAACGTGGGAAAGTCTACCAAACAGACAGGAATGAAACTGATCAGCTGACTCGCGAGACCGGAAGTTTTGATGTATGTGTACAGCAGAGCGCGAAGCGAGCGCGCAGCTTTAAAGATCGCCGAGTATATGAAAAAGTTGAACGCAAAACGTGCGTACGTTTACCGTCAACGTTGAAACGCGATGCATCAATTCGGAAATTAATAACATGAAAATTGATACCGTCCGAAATTAAAGATAACCATGTAACGACTAGCAGAAGGAGAAATCGTCATCTTTCGATGGCACAAAGGCAGAGAACACCTTACTCGTTCGAAGTAATGAAACATTGTTTCGTCTAACGGTTAATAAAAGAGAGTCGTTGTTTTCACGTTAGCGATAACGAGGAAAACAGATTCAGAATAGACGTAGGCGCTGTCAATCCGCGTAGCATCCGTAGCACACGTAAAAGCTGCTGGCAACCAGGAATAATACGAAGAGCCACTGAAGATATTATTGCGAGAATGAACATTAATTGTCTTTAGATATAGGTGTGTATGGAATTAACGATCGCGGGATGACAATTGTCCGTTTAACATTCGCTTATTACAGGTCCAATTATACACACGTAACCCGTCTCTTGTGATCAATTTTAAGGAACCATGATTCATCCTATAGATATTTCTAAAGATTTTATTCTAAACAAGGCAATACACGATGCTACGAGTATTTTGCTAAAGCCGTACATGCCAGTAGCGCTATCGGACTCCGCTGCAAATAATTACGAAGACAAATACGTAACGGTCGATCGTGTTAAATCCCGATGGGTATCTCACTCCCAAGATTTCGTATTAAGGATGACAACGATCGCCTGGGATTTCCTAAACGTTCTGAGCGTGTGTCAAAACAATGTGGCAGATCAGAGCATAGAAGATACCATCGAAAGTCCCGTTGTTTAAATAAGATATGCAACTCGTCTATCGTGGCTCTTCTATCGGTAATGTGAATTGACAGCCTGTAGAAAGATGAACAAATGACCATGCGACTCTAGTATAATTGATATAAGTATTTTTTAATAAAAACTGTACAAGGCAACTGTTTTGTACAATATTTTACAATAGCGATTGTCCAGGTTTCAACACTTGTCTCACATTCATATTTATTCTAGCTTCAGAAATGTAATCTCTCGCGTTGTTCCAATCCTCTGGGTCCAATGCATACAGATCATTGTCGTTCGATTCTGTCTCGTGATTCCATGGTGCTTCCGTGGTTGATAAAATTTTTGGTATACCGTGATACATCAAACGTGATTTCCCAGACATTACTACTACGTCTCCGCTTCTTAAAAATATTGCGTTGGCTGGATCCTCTTGCCTAAGTCCGCCGATTAAAAATATCGCAGTTTGTCCAAAACTCACGGAGAACAAAGGTGCTTCAACGTTCACCTCGGAGTGATCAGTATGGCCAGCCAAGGTAGAATTCATTCTATAATAATTAACAATCGCTGCTTCAGCTTTGAAATCGTTAAAACCTAACGTCTGTGCCAGAAACGAAGTCAACAGTGACAATTCAGAAGGCATTTCTGACTTCCATGTTTCGGAATATAATTTTGTGTCCCAGTTATGGTGGTATCCCAACGTTGCCCACCTTAATTTTGGTAGCAGTACTTTTCTTTTATCAGATCTGTAATTAATAGTTATTGAAATATATTATAGACATCTTCTTTTCATTATAATTCACGTACTTGAAACATGCATCCCACCAATCTTCGTCATCGTTTAAAAGCTTGTGTGCATCCAGGTTTAGTTTATATGGTTTCTTCGAGTACTCTTTCAAACATTTTATAATCCAATACTTCTGTCCATGGGCAGTGAATGGATTTTTTATAAAAATAAGCCCTGGGATATCTATGAGATCAAAGACTTGCCAATCCTTCACCGGTTTCAATCCCAATCCATGTTCATATCGTTCCTCGAGGAATTTCCTTCGGAATCTAAACTAGGAATGATAATTACTTTAAATAAATAAAATAAATCGGATTCATAATTTGGCGTCTACCTTGTTATTATCGGGCTTATTGAAATCGATCACATCTCTTAAATCGGTATTTGGATCCCGACTTTTATAATACTTAAAACTATCTCTGAACATTATTTCGGACCGTGGACCTCGCCATGTTTAACAGTTTGCCAGTGGGAAGAGGTCGCTACTGTAGTTTTCAAAAGAAATTTTTATAATCACAGAGGAAATTTCCTCTGTTATAATTAACTTAACAAGGTAAAATTAAAAGGTACGCAGTACGTATCGTGTACTCTGCTTTCTACAGTTTTTATTTATATTTTTATATCAAAATATATATTTAGTACGTCCATTACAAAAAGGTTGGTAAATAATTCATGTCAAAATATTTTGTTCCTGTTCTTCTAAAAATATTTTGTTCTTATTGTTCTCCTTCTATTTCTGTTTCTCTTCTTGGTGCTTATCCGTCAAGCTCAGAAATTGTGTTAGATGCAGAATAGAAATAACACAAGTCATGTATGATGCAACATCCTCTTTCTTGATGGTTCTCAATTGAGCAGCGATCGAATGATAAACGCGGTTCGCGGTTTTCGTAGATAATTGACCAATAGTTTGGACGGCATGTAAAACTTTGTTCTCATCCGCTGACACAGGGACTGGAAAGCGAAATGAAAGATTGTAGTAGAGTTCCGGACTTGAAGAAAGTAGACGTACTTACCTGGTGTGTTCTTCTCGCCGTCTACTGCCGGAAAATACCGATCCAACAATCCGTTAATCAATACGCTAGTATTGTCGACACCCGTCACTGCCATACTCCCATATTGGGTGCTCAACAGCTCATTAGCCTTGGCTATACTGATCTCCTTTAAGGTGGTCGCTTGATGAGTGGCCGATTCTTTCGCAGAATGAAGTTTCTCTATGGTCGGGTGCAGAGAGCTGCTCATCACTGCCTTTGCTGCATCGTAAATCTGTCGAATTCATCTGTTTATTCATCTAATTACGTGTATACTTTGTAATGTATCATCGATGTGCGTCAACAATTATTGTCTCTTTAATAAGTTGAGTGCCACGTGGCTTTATGGAATATTCCTGGTACGTTTTTCCATCCATTTTCCGAGACGGAGACTCTTGCTTACGCACAGAAGACTTTAGCTGCTTGGCAACGGGAATTTCGGTTTCCGTCCCGAACGGGAAAATATAGTGGGAATACTCCATTAGAATCGGCTGTGTTGTTGCCTACCTGTTGCGGGGGTTTCGTGACGATGGGAATTTTGTCCTCGACTATGTCCAGGCCCTCGCATAATTTTTGATCAACCTTCGATATCTGTCCTTCAAACCTTTTGGCCAGCGGGGCTGTGGCACTGACCGTCGCGTGGACCGTCGCTTCGGCGTGTGACAGAGCCCAGTTAATAAGATGGTGAGAATCTTTAATATACGAATAGGTAGACTCCGTCTTCTCTAAAGCGGAATTAATGACTGGGATGCTCTTCACTCGATTGATCACTTCTAGATGCGGTCCAGCCTCCTGCGAAGTTGTCCCATCAGTTTTAGGGTTCGCCATGTTATTCTAATAATAAACAAATAAAAAGAAAAGATAACAAGATATTTTTATAATGATGAAATGTCTTCATCTCATGACATGATGCTGTAATTTATTAATAGAAGTCATGATAATCAGGAAATCTATGAATATTTATATAGATTTAATTTGATTTTCAATTATTTAATGTAGTACGTGTTCAACCGCACGTGTGTATATGCGTAATATAAATATAGTATACATATATATACTTACAAATATAGCAGAGATTATTCTGATGCAACAGTTGTCTGCACAAATGATGAAGATCGAGTCGGGATTAAGCCGTTGTACTGATTCCTCTAAGTTTATTTATCCGCTTATATACGTTCTAAATATATACACGTAAATTTAATGTAGTACGTGTTCAACCGCACGTGTGTATATGCGTAATATAGTATACATATATATACTTACAAATATAGCAGAGATTATTCTGATGCAACAGTTGTCTGCACAAATGATGAAGATCGAGTCGGGATTAAGCCGTTGTACTGATTCCTCTAAGTTTATTTATCCGCTTATATACGTTCTAAATATACGCACGTATATCATTCTCTCATTTGATGAGTAATTATGGCGTATGACCTATGGACAGACGTATCATAGTATCATATGAGCGATAGCTAATGGGTAAATAATGGTAGAAAAGTGGGAGGCAACGAATTACTTACGTGTCCGTATCAGGAGCGTAGGAAGCGAGGGTTCAAGAACATCGCGAAGAAAACTACACTATATGTAAATCGAATCTTTATTTTGCAAAGTGCATAAAATTATTTTACAAATACAAGTCCAGCAGCCCTGAGATGTACGCAATTCAATTACTCAGAGATCAATTCATGTCACTACTTTTCGGTACAGTTCAAGCAATTCCTCAAATAGTAACTGTGACTGATCCCATTGTTCGGATACAATTTTTCCTCTATTCTTTTATTAATAACCACAGCTTCAGCCAGTGGAATTGGTTCCGTATAATTAAACGCCTTCCTTCTTATTTGGTGTTCCTTAGCATCTGCCGTCTTCGAATTCCTCTCCGCACTGATCGGTCCATTGATAACAGAAACTTTATTACTAATTTCTTCGTTGGTGGTCCTTATAACCGGAGTTATCTTCCCCGTTGAATCTAGTCGCGAATTAATTTGATCGCAGGAACTTATGTACACGACTGACACCTTCCCGCCGGTATTGTTAGCTGTCGTTTTAGGCAAACTCGGAGTCTTCGTCATTGCTTTTCCTACATTTGGTAATTTGGTCGATGGCAATGATGAACTTTGAGTTTTACACGTTGTATTCGTCGAATTCTGCACTTTGGTCATCGGCTTAGGCAAGTTTTGGATATTACTGGTACCATTCTTATCATTGGTCGGCGAAACTGTTGACGAACTATCGATTTTATCGCTTGAAGTAGCAGTTTCTGGATGATGATGCCTGATATGGCGGCGGAGATTGTCTCTGCGTCTAAATACCGTGCCACAAAAATCGCAAGAGAACGGTTTTTCGTCTGAAAACGACGAATGATTCAAGATAGATTTAAGAAATTTATAAATTTCAAAAACCTACCCGAATGCACGGTCAAGTGACGTCTCAGCTCGCTCTTCGAGAGGAACACACGAACACAATCCGCGCAAGAGAACGGACGCTCCTTTCCATGGATTCTTTTGTGACGAATCAACAGAGATTTGTCTTTGAAACTCTTCTCGCATTGATCGCACACGTATGGTCTTTCGTCTATCGAAGACATAAACAGAAACGTTACACACGATTCATCCTACATAAAGCTTGGATTCATAATACCTACTGGTATGTGTTTTAAGATGCCGTTTGAGGGCAGTCAATGCCCTAAACGTTTTCTCGCAGATCTCGCAACTATACGTCGCGATATTAATATCATTTGTATCGTGCGTGGCTAAATGGTATTTCAGATTTTCTCGTTTCGCGAATTTCTTGTCGCATTCTGTACAAACGAACTGTTTTTCACCTGGAAAGTAAAGAGAGAATAAAGACTTGCATCGGAACTGAAATTGCAAACTGAGGCGATTCTGATGTAAACTGAACTAGACGAACATTATGAACTTTTCTATACTTCAAAAAGAAAATACCTACCGATCTAGTAAATAGCATAATCTTTTCACAATTCTCCATCCACTAGAACGGGTAAATTAAATAAATAAATCACTGGACTTAATTTTTAATTGAATAGAATTCAGATTCGAGTGGAACTGGATCAGAGTCGAACTGTGCAAGTGATAAAATACACTTACCAGAGTGCGTAAACATATGCCTGTTCAATTTATTCTTCTGAGGAAACGATTTATCGCACAGATCACATTTAAAGGGTCTGTAACCACTGTGTATCCGCTCGTGATATTCGAAATGACTTCGTTTCACGAAACTCTTGTCACAAAGAGTACAATTATATGGTTTCCGACCCGTGATGCATCCTCGATGATAATGCTTTCCCTTCTTGTTGCGGAATACCTTGGAACATATTTCGTACGGGATTAAAATAGATAAAGCAATCGATACAAGTTGAACAAATGAACGTAGTCACTCTCCATTTAACGATTGGCAGTTTCATAAGAAATCTTCTCAATGAAAACAAAATGGGAATGGATTCCACATGCTGGAAAGTCAAGTCCCAGCAATCGTTAACACGTTGAATGCCACAGGGGTCACCGGTGACCGGCACTCAACTTGGCAATGACGCCATGGGGGCCACCGGTGACCGGCGCGCCCAGATTGATAGAAATATATATATAAATTCGCGAAACCGCACTCCAGTGCCACGGGGGTCACCGGTGATCCCGTCGCAATTAATATGTCAAACATTGTTATACACTGTAACTTATCTATTGCAAATAATATTTCAACATTATATGTATCGCATAATAGAAAATTCATCGTGGCGCCACGGACAATCCCTGTAAAATTGGCGTGGCATTGAACGTGTTAACACAAGTAAGTCGTTAAATGAGGAGTGACTGTATTAAAAAATACCTTGCCGCAACCATTACACTTGTATCTATGTGGTGTTCCTGGTATAAGAACTATATACTCTGGATCATTTGATATAGAACGCTTGTCGATAAACGATGTCTTTTTGTGCAACAAGAAGCCTGGTACCTAATGAAAGAACAAAGTTAAAAGGAATAGATACAAATTTCATTTTTAAGGAGGCCTCACCGAATCACGATTCTCTGGTGGTTCTGAATGGGAATAGATAAATTTATTATCTACAAGGTTCTCCTCAGGATGTGTAGATGATTTATGAACAACCAATTCCAGTGGCTTATTACATTTACTATTCCCGTTTGCATCATTCTCCTCAGTTTGTAAGCATATCTTGCAGCCTCGTTCGTCGTTTATCAAACACAGTCGACACTTCTCGTGACCACAGTTGTCTTTAATTAATCTCGTGCGAGCAGTGTTAGTTCTCTCCCCGCAATTCAGACAGAATTCTTTACTGCTCATAATTCAGATAAAATTAATGGACATTTATTTCCGATCGTTTAAATCTGTGTTGGGTTAAACGTTAGGTTAGGAGTGAGGACGGATTCTGTCAGATCATTAGATCTACTATAGTGTGACACACACGTACGTACTGTACGTACGCGGTACTTACCACTACACAGTTAATATAAACAAAGCAGTATAGTAGAGTGGCAAAGTGATAGACAGTGATAGAGGCCGAAGTCTGCTTTGACAGATATAGCAAATCATATGTACGCGTAAATTTCCCTGTAGAAGACATAACAAGCTTATTTAAAATCTGTTGGTTAAACGCGATATCTTTCTCGTCGTTAATCCACGTTCGCGGTAATCGAAAATCATGATTCCCAGCAACGATCAATCCGTTTGTCGTTCTGTATAAGATCACAGGTTATTAAGCTGGTTGACAGAAAGTATGTACACGCACAATGTGCGAAACATTCATAATATCAATGTAAAGAGTATGCGAAGTGTTCTACGCAATTACCTATGTTTGACTTAATCGATTTGGATATTTCCTAAGAAGAACGCTGTTAATTCATATGAAAAATGGAATTGGTGAAACAGAGGGAGAAGAGAAAAGACAGAACCAGCAACAGGCTCTCTGCCGACGAGATTTCGATGGGAATACCCGATGCCCCGATTTTGGAGGAATTCGAATGTCTCCTAGAAGTTGAACAGGTCACTAATTCTTATCCACAGGATGACGAGGTGGACTATATCGAGAGAGAGTTACGTTCTGCTGCCATCGACTGCGGAATTGGAGAACAGATCCAAGAGATCGAGACCGACGATGTGATTGGACACCAAAGAAATTTAATTGCTTCTACGACGTCTAATGGTACCAAAGAAAACGAGAGCGTAGAAAAGGATGAGGCGGATAAGATAACGGTGGATGTTCCGTCGCAGATTAATGACGTCGCACGAAATCCAGAATCTCAATGTGATGAACAGTTGAACGACACGGCTGAACAGGCCAAGAGTATGTTTAAGGAGGAGTCTCGTAACACCGCTGCATTTAACAAACAGGACCATGCAGCGGATTCTAGATTGGAAGAAAACGTGATGAATCGTAGAGGCAGTCTAACTTCGACAGACTCTTGTATCAAATCATTAGATGAAAAATTCGTCAAAGAGGATTCCACGGCGAAAGAAGACCATGTACGAATGTCTAAAGAAAAAGAGAGTAACTCCTCATCGTTGTATTCACGAGCAGCTACACTATTGAGCAAGATGCAACACGAAGAACGTTCGGAGGATCTTATAGACGGTCTCGCTTCACCGGACTCCGTGAAACCTTTTACAGACAGGCAACTGGCTTCGTTGTATCCAAACGAAGAGCTCGCATTGCTCGATTCTTTCATAAACGAGTTTTTATCCAGTCATATTCAACGCAGCGATCACCGGCATCGATTAAAGGAATTATTGAGCGACTATCTTCGTGCGAAGAATCATTTAAATTCGAATTCGAACGATCTGGAGAGGTTGAAAAGATTGTTCGGAGATTTCAGGCAGAAAGTATGGTGCCTGAAGAAGAAATGCGTGACGGAATCTGGAGAATGCCAAGACGGCAATCCCGTGGTGGCTAATCACGAATTTCTAACAGCTATGTTCGATTCCCAAGCGTATCAATCTCTACAGAGAACGTTAGGGGCCATTAAAGACGGCTTCCACGAGAGTAGATCGGTTTATTGTTATGAATCAGAGATTTATAAATTATGTATCGAGTACTATATCCAAAGTCTGATCGCTGTGTGTAAAAATCTCATGGACGACATAAAAAACAATGGTAAAGGTAGCACCGTAGAAAACAACGTTTCGGTAGATCAGGAATCGATCAGTTTAACTCCAATATCGAATGGAAAAGAAAGAACGTCGGCTACGACGATGATGCGGATGGAGTTACGGACGTGTATTGCGATCCTGTTCGATTTTCAACGTTTAGGGTAAGTGAGAGAGTCGCGATTATTTAGATAGATGCTCCACATTCGGTCTTCTTTCATGCGACAGGTCCGTCAAGGATGGGAGATTCATAACGGATACCAGGGACTGGCTCACAAGATTAGTGGCTATATTGCTGAGGCTGGCCACTTGGCAGGATCACTTGTTCCTCTTGAATCACATTCTCAGATGTCCAGGAGGCGTCACGTCCTGGGCAAGGAGTTACGTTCAAGCTCCCATGCCCATCGACTATAGTTTAACCACGTCCAGACTGAGCGATCTCTACTTGGATCACGCAGTGACCGTATTGGCCACTGTCTTGATACCCATCAGGGACCGGGATAAGTTCCTTGAACAAGTTCGAAAATCGTTTATGGAGCCGTGCTCGGACATAGAGCACGGTGACACCGTATGGTTGATGCTGGACGAGGAGGGCGAAGAAGACGAGGATATAGCCAACCTTGGTTTCAACCTCTTCGAGAGCGATGTCATTTCGCTACTGAACCAGATACCGTTCACCAGGATCTTCGAAAGGGCTCTGTGCATCATCAGGGACCAACAAAACGAACGTTTTCATCAGGATAAAGCTGGCGTGACCAGTCAGCATCTGCTAAGGGTCTTCGCTTTCTTCACAGCCTTGGTAAGGATTCTGAATCAAGGATTGAAGACCTACGACTCGCCTAGGTACAGGCAACTGACGAAGAAACTGAGCGCTCTGATCAGAGACGTGCTGCAGTACGCCAACGACCAGTGGGAAGCTTTTGACAATTCCCAGATCAAGGATCAATCGACTTTGACGAAGCTTCAATTGGAGTTCGATTGTTTCTTTCTTCGATCCGTCACGTGCATATACTCCTCTCGCCGCTTAGGTGCCTGGCAATATCTCGCCAGCATTCCTTATCACATGATATCCTCGAAAGTTCTCTGGGAAATATATTATGTTCTCCACGTCGATTTTTGTCGAAATCAATACCTGAACATCGACAACTCTGACAAACAAGTGAACGATTGGATGAAGGAACTGAACTCGAAGGATCTACGCGTCAAGTTTGAGGAGAGGCTGTCCGAAATGCCAGGCGACGAGTCCTGCTATCTTCTGACCACGTTCGCCAATATGGCAGTAGCTAGGGACTCCAGCGATCGAGATTTCATCCACACGGTGACGCTCGACCTGTTTCAAACAGGTTTCCTCAGCGAGAAGACGAGAGATTGCTGTTCCAAAGACGCTAGGCCGCTTTTATCGAATTTAATCAATCAGCATCCATCGTTAGTGTCAGTAATCGTGCGAAAACTGGGAGAGAAGTCTGCACCGATCGAAGTGCTCAGTCTGTATTTATTTAACGCGCTTCGTCTAGACAGTTGGATACCGGAAGAGGAGGACATGCTGATCTTATATAATTGGTTGGATAAGTACCCGTTGAGCTCTAACGAGAGTCATCTTGCGAGAGTGATTATCGGCCAGTTGAACTGGGGACTGAACGAGTCATGCGATTTATGTCTTCCCGTTGATCTACACAGGCAAGTAGCTTTACTGATCGTCGAAGTATACATGAAACACGTCGACGATCCAGGAGGGCAGAATGCGAGTGGTATGTTTGTCGAAGGCGTGAAACAAGTGTCCTCCATGATACGATGGCAGAATGCCGAGTACCAATTCGTCAGCTGGGCTTGGGACGTGATCTCGAAATTGAAGCTTCATCGTTTGGATCAATCAGACGCCGTCACTCGTTCCACTCTGATGGATCCCAGCAGCTCCCTTGCTGGTATTCCGGATATGGATATAGATCCGAAACTGGAGATTCTAGCGAAAGGTGTTCGCGACAAGAAACCCTTGGCGAGTTACGTCGCGATTTTGATGACCATGTGGGGCCATTCGGTGCCTTTGATCTGCTCCTCCGGATTCCAGCAACTGGAAGTCTTGTTGGCTAATTACAAATACGAGCAGGCCTTGAGTTGCCTCTATCTCATGGTTCCTTTGTTCGTGGAATGCGTGGACTCGTCGCTGATAAAAAACGAGAAGTTCCTGGGAATAGTCGCAGCCTTGCTAACGGCGGATAGTAACAGAGCTTCGTACATGAAGGCAGCGAAGAATTTATTATCACCGGAAGAGTTCCCGGGACCTCTGCTGAGAATGTTCGGGGATATGATACAATCTCAGTTGTACAGTTATAAAAGGTAAGATACGATATTCGCGTAGTGATCCAAGATGATACACCAGATTTTTTAATCATCCACGATATGTGCTTAAGATACAATTTGGAATCGCCGAGGGATCTCGTCTACCTGTGGCTGAACACGTTCATGCTGATCCCCGATTGGAACAAAGACCACTCTGTGATGCATTTGATGGACGTTGTCATCAGTTCTTCGTTCTTTCACGCTGACGCCAAAATTATCGTCGATCGAATGTTTCAAAATCTGTTCACCGTGAGTTATACTTGAGATCGTATTATTATGCTAAATTAATTACTAATTTTATGATTTAGCCTGCGATCGAGGATGGTAACGAGGTACGATTCTTTTCTATCGATAGTTACTGTGTCATAATGTATAGATAGTCGGTGTTAAAGAATTGATTAAAATCTGAATTACGTTTATTACTGTCCACAGAATGCAACGAACAAGAACAGAATGGCGTCGTTCGGATCATTTTTTAACTGGGCAACCGGATCATCGAGCTCGAACAGTCTTTTGGGGAAATCGACACAATCGGTTTGGGTAGCTTACGAGGTATTGTTAACAGAACAATATAACAGGGAGATCAAGACTGGCTTGTGGCGAGAGATACTGAAGGAGTTGGCAGGGAAGACTAGAGTTTCATTGGACACTGCTATCAAGGTATCTAATGCTGCATTCAAGTATTGTTTATTGTATAGTACTCTTGACTTTATTTTTCAGCGAGCCTGTGCCACCATCAAGATGCAGTCCTTCTCTTCCAACAGCCTTTCCATCTATCGCTGGTCGCAACAGGCTTTGGACACTCCCATGGACCATCCGATCCTGCCTCTTCTGTGGCAAAACTTCTTTGCCTTGTTTTTAGCCAGAGTCCCGTCCGCTTCCGGTGTAGTAGATCACGGCGGCGTCGGTGAAAAGTTCTTCGAGGGCATGATCAATCTCAGTTATCTGAAAAGACTCAAAAAGCGCTTGAACGACACTACGAGCTACTTTCAGTCGAAATTCGAACAAGATTTAGAAGATACCGCTGGTCACGCTGAACGAGGTCAAGAAGAAACCGCTAATCATTATCAATCAAATGTTGAACAAAGTTCAGAGTTTGAATTACGTGCAGAAAACTCGTCGGATCAAGACGGAGAGGATAGAGTGTTCGGTAATAGGTCTAAGTTTTGCTTGGATCTAGCTCGATTCTACAAGACTTTGAGTCTGTGGCTTGAGGAACCGAGGCTACAGGAACCAGGATTGTATTTCCCAGCTCTTCCACCTCAGTATATGTCTCAGAAGCTGGTCGAACTGGTCCACGATAATTGGACACCGTGGCTGGAGTACGTTGATTATTACCAGGTGCAATTGAGCCAGCTGGCAGCAGTGAAAAATTGGGAAAAATCTAGCTTTAGACAAGAAGGACACAGAAACCTACCAAACAGTTTCATGGCCTCGGATTCTTTGGACCCGCTTCGGAGGATCTGCAAAAGATTGTTGCAGTACGAAGATCCTATCCCGGCACCACCTGTCACGAAGAACCCCGAACACTTTAAGAATCTGATCAGTCCGGCATGTTTCTTATTGTACGATGCCGACTCGTTGATTGAAAAAGTGAAGAAGGAAGTTAAAACGCTGACGGATTACGCGAGGACGTATTTCGTAATGATGTCGGAGTACGCGGCCAAGGATTCGGACTTTTTGGAACTCGTGCCGAAGCTTTATAAAGTCGTGGAGAATTGTGTAACGTTACACGCTTTGTGCGATCCGGTGGAGACCAACAGGAGACACAGTCGAGTGGGAGAGAGGCCAGTCGCGGTCAATTGCGCGGGACCAGCTGTGATAACTATGAAGGTGAGGAATAAAGCTGAATATTATATTAGGACGTAATACGGAATATTGCCTATTCGCTTAGGTACCGGAAGCCTACATCAACGACAGCGTCGACCTGATGATAGCCCAGAACCGGGCCGAGTACGAAAACTTATTAGTAAAATCCAGTCAACCACCACCGAGTAAAGTTACTCAAGCATCTGTCTTCATGGATCACTTGGTAGCGACGTTGGTGCATGAAATAACTACCATCAGAAATTACGTGAACGCCAGCACTAATTCCTTGGAGAGACTTCAGCAGACTGGGACAAGACTGTTCTATTATCTGATAGAATGTTACACGGAAGAAGTCGCCTACTGTCCTCCCACTAGACAACTCATTACTACCTGCATGGAGAGACTCGGACAGGTAATCCTGATTCGAAGCATGCAGGCTAGCTATGCGATTTGTTACATATCCGCATTTATCTATGATCAATTAACAGTCTTTTATCAACGGTGAAGAAAACGAGGGACCTAGGCTCTTAGACACTGTCATAGATAAACCAAATCTGGGCAGTTTACTCGCTCCCTACTTCACGCCAGTCGCGGGTTCCGCTGTAAAATTTCTTCAGATGTACCAGACTATCGTTAAATATTCGACTGGAACCAACATGGATCTCTGTTTCGTTCTATTGTCGAAGGTACGTTAAAGATCCGTGGATCTCAGAAAACGAGCACCGTTCGCGATACACTGTTGGTCGTACTTGTTTCAGTTCGACGTTGCCGTTTGGTTGAATCACAAACGACCGCGGCTCAGTGATCGTTCCAGATTCATCGATCTGGTAGCCGAAGCTCTATGCGAAATGGGTTACAATCCGGACAAGACGAAATTGGTATTACACGAGTTGTTCAGGAATCATTTGCGGCTAGTGCTGTCGCACGACTTTCCGGAACATTACGGGGAGGTTCTCAGCACTCTGTTGAGAAGCAGCGAGGGACAGAATCTATCGTTAGACGTGTGGAGAGATTTCTTGACTACGTTGACCGGGAGAACGAGGAACAACGCGTTCGCCACGTTCAACTGCTTGAAAATTAGGGATGAGATACGTTATTACGCGATTGAACAGAGATTGCTCTCGCATCAAGAGGTCAGGAGACAATTATCAATCCTCTAGGAACCCTAGACTCATAAGTCGTATATCTTGGAATTACAGATACGCGAGACAGCAGTGCTGTTGAACCGACACTTCGTCCAGGAACGCCTTCAGTACGGGCTGTATGGTCTATATCCGAAATACCGAATTTATAACGAACCGCTGAGCGTGTTCCTCGGTATGGTCGGTCACGCCTTCGTCGCTCTCACTCTTCAACTGGACCGAGGCTCGTTAGGGGATCAACGTGAGTTACATCTTCTATTATACTCTCTGAATACGATTCTCCAATGTACTCGTTCGTCTGTTTAGTCTGCGACAAAATCTGGCCAATTCTAAACGACATGTACTCGCCTTGGCTCGCTCCTTACTGGACCCGTAATCTCAAGGAGCCCACCGCTGCCTGGATCCAACAGTTGACCGACGACCGTTCCGTTCTCCTTCCATGGATCATTTCTGACGGTCCCTATGCAAACAAGATGGTCGCCATGTTCGTAGACTGCATCCGATTTATATTAGACACTCTGCCAGCGTCAAACAAGATTTTGTCCTCCTTGTGGCAGTCCTACGTAACCAATTATGCTCATCCATCTGTTAAGGAACATGTACTGAACGTGATCCACGGGAACTTTCTAACTCTGCCTTGGGACAGATTTAATCCTAATTTAAATGATCTAGAGCTGATGGTCAAGATCTTGGATCAGTTTCTTCCCGACAGTCACCTCTTCTTGGGAACCGTGTTTATCTCGATAGATTGGAAAAGATGGATGAGTGATTGGGTGATAGGAAATCCGTCGGTCTCCTCGCTGACGAGGATCCACGTTTGCTTAATCAACTTGACGGTGAAACTGGCGAACGAAGCTAACATCAGAGAGGTAAGAACGAATCCGTCGGGTGATGGTATGATCGGTAATTGATACGTCGATGTATTTCAGAACGATAAGGCGATCCAACTTGTCACAGCGGCTGAGAAATTCTCCTGGCATTTGTTAGACGCCGCAGCCTATGACCACATAATCAACTGGTACGTGACCAATTGCGATCCGAGGCATATCCTTCAAAGTAGTACTGGCCAGTGCTATCCAATGGACACAGCCGTCAACAGGTACACGATCGACACGACGATCATACGATACATAAATTATCGTTGATCAATTCACAGACTGCTGAAGATGGCAGCCGGCTATGATTCTAGTCTGAATCATTTTCATCCGAGCACGTTGAAGAAGAGACAGCTTTACATTCGTTCGACGGTGAAAATGTTGAACAATTGCGCTGCCAGGCACAAGAACCTTTTGCTGGAAGCGCCTAGGGCCTTTTCGGAAACCCTGTCGGCTATATTGGACGATATGGAGGCAGTTATAACGAACAGTGAGAAACTTAGTTAAAATACAACTTCTTCATTTTATCTGTATTAGAAGTTACGATGTTAAAAATCTATTTCAGCCGTTTCGGAATCGCAACAGGTGGCCGAGGCGTCTGTACTGATCACGGAAATTATGGCGGCTGTAAATCAACACGGCACCGGCCACGTGGAACAGCTCCGACTTGGTTGGTGTTCTTGGTTGTCTAAAAGATCTGCTGGAAATCCGATCCTGGTTGCCGTTTTAAAAACAATAGCGACAGTTACCGAGGTGCCATTGGTTTACGGAGAATTGATGGAATCCGCGCTTGAGGCGTATTTCAAATTCAATGGTAATTAAATAGTATATTGCGTACTTAGGGCGCAAAATAAGGCATTCTAGCACTGGCACGAGTGTGAATTTCGCCCTCGCTTCGCTCGGGCGACAAATTCACACGAGTGACAAA